AGGTATATACAGCTGCGGCCCACCTCTTGACCCGATCCCAGAGCCGTCAACTCCAACAGATCGCTCTCATTGTCTTCGCTCACCACTCGTCTCGACTCAACCGACTCGTTGCGGTTCAACACAATCACCGATTCGGTGCCCACTTTGGTCTCCATTCGTGTCACCACTAATTGATCCCAATCTTCTCACACAAGAGTTGTCTCAACAATTCAAATGTGTTGTCAAATCCAATGCTCACGTGTTTGGCGTAAACTCCTTGTGATCGGACAGCACTCCCACTCCCACTCCCACTCCCACTCCCTGTCACACAAGCATTGTTGTGGTCGTCATAGAAACCAAACGATATATTGACTAACATTTCAACTCTGCTTTTGCTTTCAATTCAATTGTGTTTACAGTTAAGAGTGAATCCCATTATTGATAGTTTGCCATCAATTGTGGCAAATGTACACAAAATGCTGAGATATGCAGCCGCAGAGCGCAATCAAGAGGCCATTCTTCAGGTGTTGACAAATGTGTTGAGAAGTGAAGACAGATTTGACCACAATTTGAATGCTTTGGAAATAGGTTTGCATTGACTGTGAATCAATTGAACCATTGATTGTCCAGTGAATGAATGTCTGATGAGAGTTGCATCTGTTGTCTGTTGTGCCTCAGGAAGTGGTTCCGGTCAACACGTGACACATTTGGCCAAACATTTGCCTCGTATCCGATGGCAACCCTCTGATGTGGAAACTTCACTCTTCGAGTCGATTGAAGCCTATAGGAGACAGTCTGGTGTCCACAATATCTTAGCTCCCGTTCAACTAGACGTGTCCTCACCATCCATTCAGTGGCCAATCCCTGGGTCACCGAAACTGGATCTTATAGTTTGCGTCAATGTGATTCACATATCGCACTGGAACTGTAGTTTAGGTCTATTTGAAGGGTCGGCCTCTTTATTAGCGCCAAACACTGGTCTTCTGGTGACATATGGGCCGTACGCTTGCGATGGAGTCATAACTCCGGAAAGTAATGTCATAT